ATTGCCGTAATCTCATGATCAAACTTGAACAGAGGAGGAATTGCTTCTAAGGATGATCAAAGAAAGTAGTTTCTTGAGATGCAATTTATTCCTGTGAAGATAGAGTGAACATTGTTGAAATGACAGCAAAGGACTTCGAACATTACACAAATTTAGTTGATAAAGCAGCAACAGGGTTCGAGATGACTGGCTCCAATTTTGAAAGAGTTCTATTGTGGGTAAAATGCTATCAAATAGCATTACATGCTACAGAGAAATCTTTTGTGAAAGGAAGAGCCCATTGATGAGGCAATCTTCATGGTTGTCTTGTTTTAAGAAATTGCCACAGTCACCCCAACCTTCAGCAATCAACCATCACCACAACACCAAGGCAGCAGTCTTCAATAGCCAAAAGATTATGACTCATGGAAGGCTCAGGTGATCATTAGCATTTTTAGTAATGAAGTATTTTTAAATTAATGTATGTACTTTTAAAAGATATAATGCTGTGATACACTTAATAAACTCCAGTATAGTGTTAACATACCTTTCATACGTTCTGGGAAATGAAAAAAAAAAGTGTGACTTGTTTTATTGCAATATTCAGTTTATGGCAGTGGTTTGGAACTGAACCTGCAATATCTCCAAAGTGTGCTTGTACTGTGCCTGGCTGAAGATAAACACTGGGTAAAAATGGTAGCTATGCTATGGGGAAGACAGCGATCATGTAATCTCTCTTTTCTTGGCTCATCCCAAATATTACTACTTCACATATTATCCCCAACCACTATTCATTTTCTAACATTTTTTTCAGAGGAGACTTCCGTTAGAAAGTTTTCTCTTACATTTTCCCTTCCAAATTAGAAGCCCTTCCTCAGATGTTGCTTGTTTTTCTCCTCCCAATATAATAGGCTGTGAATTCCTATAAGTCAGGGACCAGATCTTTCTTCTCTATATATATTTCTAGGACTACCACAAATGCTCAATAAATATGAAAGACTCAGCAAAAGTCTGTTGACTAAATCAATAAGGGAATGAATATTGGTAGTATACATCAGTTTTGCAAGTAACTTCCCTCCCATTTAGCAGCAGGTGATAAAATTGCCCATCAGCTTAGAAAAAATTCCAGCTTTATTAATTTAGCTACCTATGTTACCTTTGAAGAGGGTGGACCTTTAACAAGTTTTGGATGTAGCAAGTATAATGAAACATAAACCAACCAATTCATCAATAGGTTTACTTTAAAAGAAAATTTATCTTACTAGCCTGGCAATTCCAGCCAACTTTTAAGTAAATTTAAGCCAGGGACCAAATTATTCTTAGGGTAAAGAGGAAAACTATATATGTGACTCCAAACTTCACAGTCGTCCAAAAAAAAAAAACCTTATTCTAAATGAATTCATCTAAATTTGGACAGGAGAGTATCAATGGTAAGTGTTAATTGGCAGAGAAGTCAGTTTTAACACTCCACTATTATACAGTTTCCGAAATGAGCAGCTTTCAGTTGCCTTGTGGTTAAAAAGCCCTTTAATTACACACGTGCATACACGCACACACACAATCATGCTTTTCATCTGTCTAGTCCCCACTTAGCAAACTGTTAATACATTTTTAAATTTTATCTTTAAAAAGTAGCTATAATCCTAATACAGTGTTTTCATGCCCATCTCTCTTAGAAGGAGTGAGTACCCAACCACCAATGGCTAAGACTTGGTGGTGGCTTTTCTTCCCTGGGATTTTGACTCAATCATCTGCATTTGGCATTTCATCAACTCCAACTACGATCTTCTCCAGATCAAAATTTATTAGATCATCTCTTCTAGAATGAAGAAGCTGTAGATCCACACTCTTTAAAACAAATCTTATTGAAAGGTGACCGGAAATGAATCACTGGAAACTGAGAAATTTCTTTCAAGAAAAATACATCTTGTTACCTCTTATACTATAGAGCTCTCCTTTAATATGCCACCAACCCACTCTTTATTTATTCATTTTTAATTATAAAGATGTGGAGTACAGTTCAGGGTTAGGTATACAAATGTTCATTATGCAGGTACCCTTGTTGATGAGGTGTGCCCCTCCCCTCCCCTGGCAGTTTCCAACTACTGCCAAGCCTTTTCTTGTAGTATTATGGAGACAGGCAATAGCTAGAGAAATGCTAGGCAGATAGACTGGGCAGGTCCTCCAGTAACATGGTAACAACGTAGCAAACTTCCGGAAGGCCTCTCAGGCTGATACATTGGCATGGGTAAACAAGTTCCCTAGCAACCTTTCAAGCTGGAGCTTAAGTACTCACTGCTGGGATGGAAAAACAACCAACCAACTTACTGCCAAGTACCGACCTATCAGATCACCATTAAGCCCTTACCACCTGCCAGTTGGTCCTTAGTACTGCCAACCAATCAACTCACAGCTAGAGCTTGCCAATTGGTTCATTCTTAGGTTCAGGGTTTAGCTAGAAATTGGCAAACCCTCTTGGGTCCCCTCCCACTGTGGGAGTTTTTTTGTTCTCTCAATAAATCCTCTTTTCTCACTTTTTGGCGGTCTATGTCCCTCATTCTTCCTGGGCATGAGATAAGAACCCCAATCTAAAAAGCTGAACTGAAGAGTCGTGCACGCCAGAGGCTGGCTTGCCAGCTGATGGAGCTGGCTGAACCAGGAGAGTTGCTGGAAGAAGGCAAGACTTCAAAGCTGAAACACTCCAGGGGTTAGGCTTGCTAGCACACCAAACCATCAACAATCTCAGGGCTTGACTTGCCAGCCCATTAGAACTGACACTTCTGGGGCTCGGCTTACCAGCCCCTCAAGCCAACCCTTTCTGGGACTCGGCTGGCTGACCCATTGAGCTGACACCCTGGAAGCCCAGGCTGACCTGAAAAATTTGTATCATTATAATTGTTCAAAGTTCGCTTATGAGTGAGAACGTGGTATTCTGTTCTTTGTTTCTGTGATAGATCACTAAGTATTATAGACACTAAGTCCATGCAAAAGGTTCATAATTTTGTCCTTTATGGCTGCGTAATATCCATCATGTATATGTACCACATTTAAAAAAAATCTGGTCCTCTTTCGATGGAAACATTGTTGGTTCAATGTTTTTGCTATTGTGAATAATGCTGCAATAAACATGCATATGCATAGTTCCTATGGGTATATTCCCAGTAGGGGGATTGCGGGTTCATATGGAAGGTCGATTTTTAGATCTTTTAGGAATCATCAAACTGTTTTCCACAGAGGTTGTAGTAATTTACACTCCCACCGACAGTGTAGAAGTGTTCCCTTTTCCCTGCATCCTCTCCAGCATCTGTTGTTTTTTGAATTATTGATGATAGCCATCCTGACTGGTATCTCAGTGTGGTTTTAATTTTCATTTTTTTGATGACTAGTGAGGCTGAGAATTTTTTTATGTACCTGTTGGCTGCTTATATGTCTTCTTTTGAGAAGTATCTATTCATATCTTTTGCCCACTTTGTAATGGAGCTGTTTGTTTTTTTCTTTTCGGCACGTTTGAGTTCCTGGTAGATCCTAAATATCAGACATACAGTTGGCAAAATTTTCCCCCCAGTTTGTGGGCTGTTTCCCCACTCTCTTGATGGTTTCTTTTGCTTTGCAGAAGCTTCTCAGTTTGATGAAGTCCCACTTGTCTATCTTACCTCTTATGGCATGGGCACTTGAGGTTTTGGTCAGGAATTGGTTGCCAGTGCCACATTCCATAAGGGTGTCTCCTGCGTTTTCTAAGGTTCTTAGAGTTTGAGGTTCTACGTTTAGGTCTTTATCCATTTAGAGTTGATTTTTGTGTATGGTGACAGGTAGGGGTCTTTTTTAATCTTCTGCATGTGGTCAGTTTTCCCAGTACCATTTACTGAATGGGTCTCCTCTCCCCAGTGTTGATGGTTGAGGCTTTGTTAAAAATGAGTTCAACCCACTCTTTAAAAGGTAACTTTTCTTTTCTCTCTCTCTTTTTTTTTTTGAGTCAGAGTCTCACTGTGTCGCCCAGGTTGGAGTGCAGTGGCACGCTCACCACCACCCCAGTATTAAACTTCTGGGCTGAGGTGACCCTTACGCCTCAGTCTTCCAAGTAACTAGAGCTACAGACGCTCACTACCACCCCGGGCTAATTTTTTGACATACTGTAGAGACGGGTCTCACCAAGTCGTCTAGGCCGGGTTCAAACCCCTGGACTCCGGCAATCTTCTCGCCTCGGCCTCCCAAAGTGCCGGGATTACAGGCTTGAGCCACCGCACCCGGCCTAAAAGGTAACTTTTCAACAGTGCAACCACGACAGTCGGTGACACTTTCGACTTTCCCTGATGACAAGAGCTTTCCAAGCTACTAGCCTATTTCCCTGGATGCTCATCGGTTCCTGAAGAAGCGACAACCAACGTCTGAGAGCTAGGGGTCGCTCAACAGGTGGTTCGCGGGGTGCGGTCCGGCCCGAGCGCCGCCGTGGGGCCTCAGCGCGCTCCACGCGGGCGTCCACCCGACCTTGCGCCGGGGGGCAGAGGCTGCCGGGCTCCAGCAGGAGGACCACGGCCGGGTGCCGTGGCAGGGAGGGGGCGAGCGCGTCGGATTCACGTGGCCTCCACGCCCACCTCCTCCCGCTACGAGTCCCCTCCCCTTGCCACAGCACTGCCCTTATTGTTGGACGCCTCTGTCACTTTGTGGGCCTGATGACATGAATGGATGGGCTGGACACACCTTCCGTCCTTCTAAGAGAAAAACCCCCAAGCAGATCTGCATAGAGAGCGGGAGAGACTCCCCCCGGGCGCTCCCCGAGCCCGCGCCGCCGGCCGGGAAACTCGCAGCTCCCCCCTCCCACCCTCACTCCTCCCATCCTTGAAAAAAAAAACAAAAAAAAACCCGTCGGACTCAAATAATTAATATCGGTCCAAGCCTGCGGCTGTCCTCGGTGCCCTCTCCTCGCCCGCTCTGCGCGCTCCGGCCCTGCGGGAGACGACAGTTCGGGTCCCGCGCGGGGCACAAGCGAGAGGCGGGCGTAGCGGGCCCGCGGGCGCCGCACGATGCTCCCCAGCGCCGTGGCCGCCCACGCCGGCGCGTACTGGGACGTGGTGGCCTCCTCCGCGCTCCTCCACCTCCCCGCCTCGCCCGGCTTTGGCAACCTGGGCAAGAGTTTCCTGATCGAGAACCTGCTGCGGGTCGGGGGCACCCCGACACACGGGCTGCAGCCGCCCGCGCCCCACGGCCCGGCGGCCGCCCTCGCCACCCCCGGCGCGCAGCTCCGGCCCCTCCCCGCCAGCCCGGTTCCCCTCAAGCTGTGCCCCGCGGCGGAACAAGTCAGCCCCGCCGGGGCTCCCTACGGCACACGCTGGGCTTTTCAAGTGCTCAGCCCCTCGGCTGACGGCGCCAGGCTGCCGGCCCGGGCTCCAGGGGACCGAGACTGTACCTTCCAGCCTTCAGCCCCAGGTGAGCCATCTCCCCTCCCCGGCTGCGCGCACGCCCCCAGTGCCGGGAGGTCCCAGGATCTGGGGGCGCCGGCGGTGCGCACTGCGCCGTGGGGGGAGCGCCGGCTTGTGATCTTCCCGGAGCATCTCGAGCTTTAGTGGAGATGCCACTTAGGGAGCAGAGGTGGGGTGGGGAACCACTACTTTCAGTGATTGCTTGTGCCTCTTCCCACCCCACCAGCTGCCTTCCTGTCCCCTTCTTTCAACAAGTGGCTGAGCCACCTTGACTTTCTGGCTTGCACGGGGAAACCCTGAAGGCACCCCTGGCTGGAAAGGGCCGTCCCGAGATCCTTGGGGAGCCTGGACCAATTTCACGGGGTTTTCCAAGTTCCGCCTTTCCAAACCGCCGGCTCCTGTCCCCGAGGCCGCGCGACACCGGCGCTCCGGATAGTTCTTGGCAAGGAGAGCTTCGCTTTGGGGGCTTTTGCCATTCAAACTGTTAGGACGGTCGGGTTGTTCAGGAACGCACGCAAAGATCTTTGGAAGAAGAGTTGCGCAAAATTTTGGCTTTCTCCACTCATACATTTTGGATCACTTAAGGAGCAAAGAAATCAAGGCCGACTTTTTCTTCGCGCTGAGTTGAAAAACAGCTGAATTGGCAAGTGGGGTAGGACGTTCACTAGTAAATAGAAATTTTCCAAAAGAAGGACAGTTTTGGTTTACTTTAATTAGCGTATAAAACCTACCTAATGGGACTGGGAAGAAGGATGTGAACAATTTAGTAAAATGTTAGCTCAGGTTTATGTAGGATTCTTCGAAATTGACGATGATAAAAGGGAAAAAAGTGCCTTAAAGACTCAGAAACTGAGATCCAAGTGGATTAATTTTTTTTTTTTTTTTGGCTGCATCCTTAGACGATCTTACTTAACTCATTCTTTTAATCCTCATGGGTTTGTCCAGAATGACTAATAGACGCTTTTCCAGCAGTTTCCATTGTCCCAGCAAACTGCCGGATCAAATTTATTACTAATGGCTTTATAGAAGTTAACATGTTTAGAATCTGTCCTGGTCTTTCAGTTTGAAATGGCTACTAGCAGTTTGGAACAAGTATAATTATATGAACACCGGTCTCATTCACCTATTATAAAATCTAAACACTGGGAAGCCCTTTTGCACCCTGAGAGGAACAAATACAGTTAAGGCAAAGTTTATGTGCCTTGGAAATTTGGGTCACTTACTTCTTTTTGAAGTATTGGGAAAACTAAACATGTATAAGGCAGTTTCACGTAAGCAAGAGCTAGTAAATAACGTCTCATAAAGATAACGTTTTCAAGAAAATTTCGTGATTTTGCATTGCACTCTTGGTTGTTTGGCATTATGTTATTTTTCAAAGATTCTTAAATTGTTCCTAATCATAATTGGCTCCTCAGCTATGAAAAGGTACTTCATTTTACTCTTTGCAGATTTTAGCAGATTAAGTTTAAATAAAATAAATGCAAATCAAATTCAGATATTTCAATAACTCTCAAAAAATAATTTCATATACTACTCATTTCATTTAAAATATTGCAACTAATGGGTGAAAGTTTTCCTAACTACATGTTTTTTTTCCAAGAACACATTCATTCTTGTACACTTATTAATGTGTCCAATTGCAAAACTTATTTTTGCAATAATTAAGAGGGCTGTCAGAATTTTTGTCCCTTTAAAGTATTCTAATATAGTTTATTCTAATACAGTTTGGTTTGTATTTTCCAAAAACTCCTCGTGAAGAATAAGTTTAATTTTTGAAAATAGAAAAATAAAGAAAATTGAAAATTGTCCTCACAAATATGCTGCTTGAAACCAGCATTTACATTCATTTGTTTTTATAATTTGACAAAGAACGTAGTTTTCTAAACATTGCCCCAGTTTTATTGAAGTGATAGAATTTTGCCTTACCAAATGTTGTAAGAATTATTTTATACGCTATAGAATTATAAAGTTCAAATGAGTTATAATGAGCATTAACAATTTTAGCTATCAGATGGACATTAGGTGAAGATGAATGTTCTGTAGAAAGTGTAAAAGAGATTGAAAAGCTGTTGTTTCAGGAAGATAACAGTACTGTATCGCTTTGTAATACAGTATTGATCTGTATTGAACAACCAGTTCTGATCTTTAACTTGGGAGTGGATCACAAAATATGATTTTAATAATTTCTGCATATTGAATACCCACTTTTTTCTCAATTTTAATTTTTTGAGTGCACCAAGTCTAAATGTTAAATAAGAAAATCCCAGAGTTATTTTTAAGTGCATTGGTGAAATATAGCACCATTTTGCGATGGGATTTTTGTCTCTGCATGGATTTTTGCTTCATTATTTTGGTCACCTACTATTAATTATACTGTGTATTTCCTTCAACCAGCAAATGCTTACTGAATTTCCCCATGTGTCAGGCTTTGTTGTAGGCCATTGGCATAATCAGTGAACACACTGAATGACTGGCTTTGCCCTTGTGGAGCTTACATTTTATATTCTGTACTGCTTTTGAGGTTAACCTCATCTTCACAATGGTTAGTTTCTTTCAACCTCATAATAGGCTGTGAGGTACCTATTGGGATTCCAATTGTTTGTCTGCAATTGTTATTTCACTTGCTTGTTTTGTTTTTATTCCCAGTAGCACTTTAAACATCTGCGAATTCGTGAAAGAGAAAAAAAGTGCCCCATATCTTCAGGCTGCTTCCCACCTTAGATTAGTTTCCCATTGACTGTAAGAAACTACTAGGGAAAATAGGATAACCGGTTACATAGTATCACAATAATAAATCAGATTGGGATTTTGCACCTCATCCCATAAGGAAAGAAATTAGTTGTCCCTTTCATCTTGTTGTAAGTCATATCTGAAAGGTGGTGATAGTTAAATGATAACAGATAAATAAGTCATGGATGAAAGTATAGCTGTCAGTGCTTCATCCCTGGAAATTGGCAGGTAGGATATATATAGCAAGAAAAGGCACACTCAATAGCTATATTGAGTGTTGTCAAGTTGTTTATGTAGAGTAGTTTTGTAAATTTAAAAATCAGAGGGCATTCCTCAAGGCTTGAGAGGAGCACATGTAGGGTAATACTGAGTAGTAAATAGGTTTTCCTCCAGGGCTTGTATCTGGAAAAGAAATGTCGTAGATCTGTTATCGTTTTTTTGTGGAAACCAGGAGGTTTTGCAAATAAATTCTTATAACTGGAGAACCCTCTCCAGAGGTTCACTAATGGCATTATTTAGAAAATATTGTGTTAGAGTAAACTATTCATCTTTTTGTATATAAGAATTTCTTGAAATGTAGAAAGCGGAAACATTTAAATTTCTCTTGGTTATAGAATAACATCAGTTTTCTAATTGGTGGTTATGCCATCAATTCTCTTCAAAATAAGCAGAACCTATAGTCTCGTTTTTAAATAGCATTTGTTATTTTAAACATTTTAGAAAATATTTTATGTAAAAATAATTTCCTGAATATAATCTTCCTTATTATTTATTAAATCTGCTCCTTGTGCTGCTTACAAAAGAACTGGAAAGCAAATGTGCACTCCGGATAGATGAGTTGAACTGCTCTTTTTTTAAAAAAAAAAGTAGTTTTGCCAAGTAAGTTGTACTGTGTAGCACAGAAATGGAAGAACCGTAGTATTTTTTTCTGGCATCCAGTTAGGGTTGTTTCTGACCATTGATACTTGATGTGCACTCTGGTCTTCTTGTTTTCCTTCCAGTCCCAGCTACTGTTTATCCATTAATTGTTGATTATGTCGGAAACTACTTGCATTATGTTTTGTGCTGCAAGTGGTTGGTAGTGTTTTTCTTCCTTCATTTAGATACACTGAAAGTGTGACATAAAATGGCCTCGCTTACGTTTTAGGTTCTTGGTGGGGCTCAAAGTGGGGCTTTCAGCCTTAGTGAAGACTGTGATCTGATTTATTAAGCCAGAGTTTGACATTTTTTTCTTTTTCTTTTTCTGCTGACACTATTTTCTAGATTTGTTTTGGTAAATTAAAATATTGGAATTTTGAGTGTTGTTGATGATGATCTAGAACTAGGATAATGAAAGTGAGAGATTCAGAACAGGACAGTGACAGAACCCATTCTAGTGGCTCTTTGCTTAGGCCATCCCCCAGTCATCCTTTGGTGGAATTTGTAGACAATGCTAGAACCATATTCTTACTGTATCTATACTTTTTTTATTAATCTGCTTAACATATCTTTGTATTTAAATTAACATATTAGGAACTTTTACATAATTCATAAGTAATCAGCTCTGAACAGATTGTTATATGATCCCTAAGTTAACACGTTCCGGTTCAAGGAGAAGTTCTTGCAGTGAATAGAACCAATGGAACTAATAGATGGACGCTTGACATTTGGCACTGATTGAGTAAGTCACACTCTTTACAAAATAACGTCCAAGTTAGAACCGCAATGGGGTAGCAATACATAAATTGCTACATAAGCATTTAATTTGCCTCTGACTTTAGCACCTATCCCTCCTCCACCCCCCCAACACATGCTGCTTTGCTTTAACAACAAGCAAATCTCAATCTGGTAACATGTTTTGAAACTATTGAGGTTTAATAATAAAACGGGAGTACATGTAGCAGGCAAATAGGAACATTTTAGAACTTTCCTCTTAACTCTTATTCCCTTTAGGATTTGAGGATTTTAAAAGAGATACAATGACCAGAAATTCATGTACAGATTTATGCAGAATTAAGGATAGGACTCAGAGTATTCAAGGTTATGCTACACAAAGTCAAAGGACATGTATGCTATGGGCTATTTAAAGGGACTATCAAGGGTGATTTTATCTATGTTTATTTGCCATCAATGTGGCTGAGATATTGGAACCTTTAAGCATTGTGGTAGATTCCATTGCATTCCTCTTTGGGTGTGTCATCTTCTTTCTGTTCTTAGTGCCCACCAGAAAAAGTCTTTTTTTTGCTATAAGAAGACATTTTATGGTTTGGTTTGCTGCTGAACAATGATAGTGATGGC